CTGCTAACACACCTCGTGAATAACGGAACCACCTTCGTCATGGAATCTGTTGACAAGTTGAAAGTTGGTCTCATATAAAGCTGGAAAGGTCACAATTATGGTGTACTTACCGGTAACTTTGAAATTTACTATACTTTAGATTTCAGATTCAGATTTATTGGTTGAGGATAGAAGGCTTGCAGCCTATGTTAATACTTTTCTAGTAGATTTCTGTGGTTGTCCAAACCCTTCTTGAACGAATCAGTTGAGGTTGCAGACACCACTTCTTCTGGGAGTCGGTCCCAAGAGTTTATGACTCGATGTGAGAACCAGTACTCAACAGCAATATGATTTCTCCTTGGCTTTTGAACTTTCCTGCTATGTCCTCTAAGGTGTTCCGACCGGGTGGGAAGGAAAAGAGAGAATAGGTCAGGTCCGTAGTCATTATTTAAAATTTTAAACATTGTGATTAAATCTCCTCTCTGCCTACGGTATGACAGTGAGAAGAGATTTAAACTATCTAGTCTTTCCTCGTATGATAAGTTAGCTATGCCGTGAACCATACGTGTTGCCTTCCTTTGAACACTTTCTAGAATGTGTGAATCCCCTTTTAGACAAGGACTGGCGGCCTGGATGCAGTTTCCCAAGCTTGTTATAATTCTGAATTAAATCTCTAATTCTGAAATAATTCTAGCATCCTTTAGTGAGTAAATTCTGAATTTGTTCTGAAATCGTTTGTTTAGTGGCACAGACTAGAACTCAGTGCTAGTTTTCAGCATAACTAGCGCTAATTCAGAACCGTGTTCTTCTTTTAAGCATTGTTAGGAGTAGATATATATTCATTTACCAAAAAAAGGCATTATCAACGCATAGGTTAGAATAAGTTTAGAGTTTTTGTAAGCTTGGGAATTTCCAGTCTTGACCCAACCCCGAGATGTATATAAGGAGGTGAACATATCTCTGGTAATTCTTGTAAAGGCTCTGCGAATCGCCCATAAGGACCTGAAACTGCGTGCAGCCACCGCGCGATAGTGTGCTGTAGTTTTTAAGTCGTGGCTAACTATGACACCTAAGTCCAATTGGACTTACTTAAGTGAGTCTGAACTGATGGAAGTGTTATTCCCTCTAATTTGTAGGGGCTTGTGCTTGATTGTCCAATGCGCATGGTTGCACATTTTGCCACATTGATCGGGAGCATCCATTCAACAGACCACTCTGACAATTTGTTTAGAACATTTTATGAATTCATAATATCGGTGACCCAATCGGACAAATGTGGGGACAAAGTGGGGACATTTTGGGGAAAATGGGGTGATGATGGGGACAACTGGACTTTACAAAATGGGGACAAAATGGGGATAATGGGGACAAAATGGGGAGAATGGGGAAAAGGGGGAAAATCTTACTATTTCCCCATTTTGTCCCCATTTTAGACACGATTTTCCCCATTTTTGTCGATTTGGGGAATGATTATCATTCACCGATAATCATTGTTCATTCTGTATCTTTGATGTTTCACTTCAACACCTGTACTAGAATGTTTTACTTCTGAAAATGCGTAGAATAAGAGCAAAGTACCTTGCACGTGCTGATTTAGCGCCAGTCGACTGGCGCTGCATGATATCATGCAGGTAAACCAGCTCACAGTTCCAATTTAAGCAAATAATCAAACAATTGCAGAACAGTTACGTAGTTTACTTACTAAAGAATGTTACTATATTAACATAGTATACGTGAATTAGCTCAATGATTGCAGGTTGACCATAAGCCTTAACTACCAACATAATAATTGGGAACTTCGGGCTAAAAATGTGCTTCATAGTAGGATCCACTGACAAAAACTGACCTACACACTACAAAATAAGCAAAACGTCCAAGAAAATCTTCAAGTTTCAATGTCAATCGAATTCACGAAAACATATAACCAGCGGACGCAAGATCCCATCACGACCTTCCAATATCCAATATCGTTTTTACGAGCTAGTATAAACCAATTTGATTTCTTTGTGCTCGCTTCTTGATTGTGAGGTATAGGTTCTTGATCTTCGGTAAACTTCTGCGTAGCTTGTCCCGCCACTCGACTGTCGTAGCTTTGGTTGACTCCAAAGGGAGTAGTGCTGGGATTAATTATATGTGGTTTGTAGTATGAGGTATGTTAAGACTGTTACTACTGTGATTGGAGTTGATCCTTTCGCCAGTTAGTCCTTCGGTATTGTCGACAAGAGAAAAGAGATAGTAATAATAATAATAATAATAGTAATAATAATAATAGATATAATTAGTGAAGCTATTCAGACTAAGAGACAGAAACGAAAATAGGAAACGTAACAACAGTCAGCTCATTAAGTTTGAAGAATAATATATATATCGGTAATAGTAATAATAATAATAGTAATTATAATATTAATAAGTTGTCAGGAGAGTAAGACGGGAGAGAATGTAAAGAAGTAAAATGACGAGTTTAATTATCTACCCTGATTGGTAAATGCGATTTTAAGGAGATAGGCCATTTGGATGCAGTCCTTGTATCGCTGCATGGTTGTCCAGCCTTCGCTTAAAGGCGTCCAAAGACGGTGCCATAGCTACATCTGCCGGTAAGGAATTCCAGGGACGACAAACCCGCAGTGAAAAGAAGTGGGAGCGCACCCGGGTCCTTGCCCTCTGGTGAGCTATCCTTCTGGGATTTCCACGTGGAAGCCTATACCTACTCAATGGCAGAACACCTTTGTTTGGGTGATTCTGGTCATTTGTTATTTTGTAGGCAGTAATCAAATCCCCCCTAAGCCGACGGTAACTAAGTGTGAACAGGCCTAATTTCTTCAGCCTTTCATCATATGGTTTGTTTCGGAGACCAACCACTCCTTTTGTTGCCCGTCGTTGGACTCTTTCCAAGAGGTTGGCATCTCTTCTCAGCATTGGGGGTGCAATAATATTATGCACCTCAAGGTGTGGCCTGACGTATGTTTTGTACAACATTAGAAAGAGCTCAGGAGTGAGTGCACCTAACTGTCTATGCGTAAAGTGTATGACCGCATATGCCCTCGCTACATCCCCTGTGTAATTTACGCTTGTGTCCATTTTTTCCGTTAGAACTAGACCTAAGTCGCGTTCCGACGTTGTGCAGGACAAGCTTTCATTGCACAGGGTGTAACTTGCATTCTGCAGTCTACAGGTGCGCAACTTCACTACTTTGCACTTTTTCAAGTTGAAAGTCATGCCACTGGCCACCGCCCAGTCTTCCAGAAGGTTTAGGTCTTCCTGTAGCCTATCTGAGTCCTCCGGACACTTTATCGCCCTCCATATTTTTACGTCGTCAGCGTACAGGAGAGTCGGGCAGCTCAGACGGCGTGGTAGATCATTGATGAAAATCAAAAACATCAGTGGTCCTAGGATAGAACCCTGCGACACTCCTGATGACGATCTGTGCCAAGATGATCGGACTCGGTTAACCTTAGTGCAAAATTGCCTGTCGGCTAGGTAGTCCTTCAACCATGACAGAAGTGGCTCACCTATGCCTGCCTGCTTTATTTTATGTAGGAGAAGGTCATGGTGAACAGTGTCAAATGCCTTCTCAAAGTCTAGGAAGACCACATGGACTGGTACGTTCAAGTCCCAGCATGATGTCCAGTCGTCCCAAGCTGACAGTAGGTTAGTGACGCAGGATCTGCCTTTTCTGAAACCATGTTGGGCTTCATGTAGTATATTAGTCCTATCGAAATATTCCCTGATGTGGTCGTCAATAATACTTTCCAGTACTTTTGATACCACTGGGAGTAGAGCTACTGGTCTATAGCTAGCAGCGTTTTGCCTGTCCCCACCCTTGAAGATTGGAGAAAGGATGGCTCTTTTCCACTCCCTTGGCAGGGTCCCCGAATCCATTGAGTGTTGGAACAAGTCGCACAGGGGTCTACAGAGAGCCTCGGCGCACTGTTTCAGAACAGATGGCCTGATGTCATCACAACCTGGGGACTTCCCAGGTATGAGTCGCTGTAGCTTCCTTAGTACTATTGCGGGGTTTATTTGGGGAGTAGTCGCTAGGTCTTCCTCCTCTGAAATAGTGGTGCCACCATTTTGGTCCGTAACTGTAATATCCACATTGCTGTTTAGCTGTTTAGCGAAGGCTGAACTGAATGTTTCAGCCATCTCCAGACTAGTGAGATATTGACCGTTTGGGCCTACTAAGGCGCATGCCCCTTGGTTTGTCGGTTTTCTTTCCGACATGAATCGGTACAAGTTTTTAGGGTTTGATAGGAGTTTTTTAGCAAGGTTAGCCTGGAATGACCTTCTGTCCCTCCTGACTCTTGCATTACACCGGTTCCTGAGTTCGAGGTATGCATCATGGTCGGTCTGACTCTTAGATACACGCCACGTAAACCAAGCCTTCCGCTTTGCTTGCAGAATACGTTGCGTGCCTCTCTTCAACCATGACGTCTTTCTCTTAGGCTGTGTTGTGACTAAAGGGACGGTATCCGAGATTGCTGTATGGATAATCTTTTTTACCACTTCCCAGTGTTCATCCACAGATAGGTCGTCCCATGCTAAGGGCCAGTCTGCGTCGGACAAGAGCCTCCGCATTTCAGCATAGTCAGCCTTGCTGTAGCACAGACATGGTCGCGTAACATCCCATTGCAAACGCTCACGGAGGACAAGATCGAAACCTATGACTGCATGGTCACTGCTTCCCAGAGGAGTCATGATCTGGACCTTTTCGACGAGTAGCTGGTCACTAGTTAGAATATAATCTAGTTTTGATGACTTTCCACTAGGGCCCCACCTAGTGTCGTCTCCAACATTCTCAGTCAGTCCCGTGTTTCGAATAGTTTGCAGTAGGTTTCGGCCAAATTTTCCCTTAGCACACCCGGAGCCGAGGTTCAGTGATGGAGCATTGAAATCTCCAGCTATGGTGATTTGGTCGTAGCCCAAATCTCGTATTCCTGTGATAGTGCTGAGCAGTAGCTGATTGTGCTCTGCCCCACAGGTGGGAGATCGGTAGATGCCACCCAGTAAGTGCTTGGTGTGGCCTACGGTGAAATGACACCATATGGAGTCTGGGAGTTCGATAAGTGGTGGGTCCGTTGCGCGCACACATTTAAGTTGCCTATCAAAGTATATAGCAACTCCCCCTCCTTCCTTATTATCCCTGTCTCTCCTGACCAGTACCATATCACCTATACTGATTTCATTGTCGGCGATAGTGGGGTTTAGCCACGTTTCAGTAAGAATGATTATTTTCAGTTGAAGGTGTGCTTGGAGATTTCGAAGTTCACCTACTTTCCCTCTCAGCCCCCTCACATTGCTATATAGGCAACTGACAGTGAGTCTAACAACCTCAGAGTGTTGTGGGGTAGTTGACGTGAAACCGTCTGCTGGTGGGGGACTTGATGTTGGAACTAGTTGGCCGATTCCGATAGAACCGGCCCGTTGTAGTTTTTTTCAATGGATTTAGGCAGGACACTTGGGAGACACAGACTATTATTCTCAGAGCTGCATCGCTCTAGTGTCACCGAAGCTTGGGGTCGTATTAAAGCCTCAGTTTGCTGCCTCCTTATATTTCTGGGTCTGCTTTCACAGCATCGGATGTGTCCTCCAATTTTTCCCTTGGTCTCATACCACCGTTGAAGTGATATGGACAACTGCTCCGGGGAGTTGAATGTGACACACAGCAGCTTTGGAGAGTTAATCAATGTTAGATGAGCGGGACGAGGTAGTCGGAAAATGGAGATGGCTCCAGAAGCGCCAGGGGCCATCTGAGATGACAGCCATCTCCATTGTTGTACGTCGTGCATGTGTTTTTCACAAGCAGTGCCGGTTTCCAGCTCCGGAACACCGTGTACCACCATAGAGGTGGAAGGCATCAGTTCCGGTGACTCCCTCGCCATATTTCTGACAGCCCATGGTCTATCTTGCCGCGCTCTTATGTTAGAACTTCTGTCCAGGGCTAGTACCTGAGCCATTAACAGTACTTTTTCGGCCTCTTCGGCAGAGTCCAGTGTAACCCGTAATGGGGGTGGCTTACCCTGAGGCGTGTGGACACCCCTGTACAGTCTGCACAGTTTTGCTGAACTAATGTTCAGACCTAGTTTGCCGCACAGGTTGGACCACTGTTCCTGATCAAACAGGGCCCGTTGTTCGAGCAAGCTATCCGTGCTCACAGGTACGTTAAAGAGGATGAGAGAGTTAGACCGACTACCCTCAGACTTAGGTTTTGCCTTCGGCTTCTTGCAGTCCTTTGCATCATTAGCAACATTAGGCTTCATCGGTACCTGGACAGCCTTTTTTGTGTTGCCAGGCTTGCTAGTGGATGCAAGTGGTGCCTTTGTAATTTTGCCCTCCCCTGATGTGGATGGAACCTTGCTAATCTTCACCTTGTGAGAATTGGCATTTCCAGTCAGTAGGGCTGGTGTGTCCTTCTTTAAGTCTTTGACCAGTTTCGGCAGTGCGAGTTTAGCAGGGGGGAGCTGCATGATACTGTGTTGGGGCACAAGAGCGTGTTATTTCTGCTATCCGCAGACACGCTTTGTGGGACTATGCCAGGGCGACAAAGTGGACACACGTACCAAAACCATGGGCATGGGTTATTTCTCATAAACTCATAGTATGCTTTCGGTACTTCTTTGTCACAACGGCAGTGCACCCATCGTTTGCAAAAATTACATTCAAACGCTGAATCAGTTTTAGAAACTGTGATGCTGCACGCCTGGCATTCATCCCCTTTCCTTGATGACGCCTTCGAGGTCTTATGACGTCTTGAACGTTTCCTTTTAGGCTTGATGTGTTTCACACACTGGCCTACAGTTGATGCAGGTGTAGAATTCTGTCCTTCTGGTATTGAAATCTGTTCCAATATCCTGATTACGAGCTAGTATAAACCAGTGATTTCTTTGAGCTCGCTTCTTGATTGTGAGGTAGAGGTTCCAGATCTTCGGTGAGCTTCTGCGTAGCAAGTCCCGACACTCGACTGCTTTATCTCTGGTAGACTCCAGGAGGAGTGGTGCGGGGATTGGTCGAGATGTGGTTTGTAGTATGCAGTATGTTAGGACTGTATTGCTGCCGTGAATGGAGTTTGACCTAACTCCCCTTGGTCATTCGGTGTAGTCATATAAGCAGAATAGTAATAATCATAATAATAATAGGTTGTAGTGTAGGTAATATAGGTTTAGATAAGTGGAATAATAAAGGTGACCTAAGGAAATGATAGAGTGAGAGAAGGCAGAATAGGTCGTGGGGATTTAGTTTGTACGCTTATTCATTGACAGTTTGATTTCAAATTTTATGAGGGTAAGCCATTGAGACACAAACCTTGCATTTCTGCATGATTGTCTAGTTTCCGCTTAAAAATCTCCAGAGATGGCGCTGTAGTCACGGCCGCCGGTAAAGCGTTCCAGAGACGGCAAACACGAAGCGAAAAGAAATGTGATCGCACTCGAGTCTTTGGTCTCTGGTGTGCTATCCTTAGCGGGTTACCTCGTGGAAGCCTATAATCGCTTAATGGCAGGATGCTTTTATTTGGGTGGGCCTGGTCATTTAGGATCTTGTAGACGGTGATGAGGTCTCCCCTGTGCCTACGGTAACTAAGTGTGAAAAGTCCTAATTTCTTTAGTCTTTCCTCATATGATTTGTTGCGGAGGCCGATCACCCATTTTGTCGCTCGTCTCTGGACACTTTCTAGAATGTTAGCATCCCTTTTGAGTAGCGGAGGTGCAATGATATTATGCACCTCAAGGTGTGGCCTCGCATATGCCTTGTATAGCCTTAAGAACAGTTCGGGAGTGAGAGCTCCCAGCTGCCTGTGCATAAAGTGTAATGTTGCGTAGGCTTTGGCGACGTCCCTCGAGTAATTTCCACTGGTGTCTAGCTTTTCTGTTAGAGTAAGACCTAGATCACGCTCTGTTGGAACACAACTCAAGTTCTGGCCACCAAGGGTGTAATTTACACTCTGTGACCTGCCAGAATGAAGCTGCACTACTTTGCACTTCTTTAGATTGAAAGGCATTCCGTTAGCCAAAGCCCAATTTCCCACAGTTTGCAGGTCAGCCTGCAATCTATCTGAGTCTTCCGATGAGTTTATTGCTCTCCAAATCTTTACGTCGTCAGCGTAAAGAAGCGCAGAGCAGTTTAGTTGGGGGGGGGCAGGTCATTGATAAAAATCAAAAACATCAACGGCCCTAGGATAGCATCTTTCGATTGATGTGAGAGAAACATCCAAAAAGAAACATACAACGTCAATTTCACGTGAGAAATATGATTGATCGCGTTCAATCTATATATATATATATATTAACAAATCATGCTACATATTCTACCTTTTACAGGTGCGACGGGCACTGGACAGGAAACAAACGAAGCACGGAATCCAACGAACAACAACAAGGAAGCTATGTACAAACACCCTATTAGCATAGGCAGACCAACCAGTAGGCATACGACCAAGCCGCTCGGAAGACTTTTTTCACCCGATAAGGAACCATCGAGCTTTTTTTACTTCCGGCTGGTTCTGTCTTAGGGTCCTCACGACCCCACTAGGAGGGGGAGTGAACTGTAGCGGTGAATAATTCCCCAAAATTATTGACCACAGCAATCACTCATTGGATGCTGACCATTACTGTTTAAGTCGACTTGTTTAGCTGAAGGCCTCCGGTCAAGCATCCCCGCCATTTGGTACCTCGTCGTGTCACGTGCACGATTACTAGCTAGCTAAGCGTTCGTCTAACAGCTTGTTTTGGTCCCGAAATATATCACGAAGTTTGGACGATCAATTATTGGCTTTTGCTTTGTTGTTGGTACGCGAGAACTAATAAATTAGAGGCGGTGTAAGATAATTCCGTCAAAACCTTGAAATCGCCCAAGCAGTTGTTCCCTGGGCTCTGCGGTCAGGCAACCATCTTCCACCGTGTGGTCAGCCCGGAAGTGAAAATCGCCCTAACAATCCGGAATGCACGCGAATTCGCTCTAATCCTCGCTCATCTTTGTCTTCATCTCTATCATCTTCCCTTTGCTTCCACTGATGCAACTCCTCTACTTGATAGCTCTTCATTTCCTCTACACCCTGTGTCCACTGAAAACGATGGAAGCCAAAAAACCACCACCAACAGCCTCCTAAAGCCACCAATTTCTTATAGGAGCATTTAATGTTAGGACACTTTGCCAAATAGGACAACAAGCATCACTAGCCAAAACTCCGGCATCCCGAGCCATTGATGTATGTTGTGTTCCAGAAACACGCATACAAGACCCAAGTGTGGTTATTCACCTAACACCACCTGGCCAACAGGTTGAATCTGCAAAATTCACCTTGAGGGGGTAAGAGATGCCACAGCTAGTTCAAGAGGATTAGCTGCAGTAGGGATAGATTTGAGTACAAGAGCAGAGAAGACACTGCTTGACTGGATCCCGGTAGATAGCCGAATGTGTGCAGTAAGTCCGAAAAGGTCAGTAAAAAGAAGAAAGTAATGTCAATCGAGTTGAAGATTGAACGATCAATTCTTGGTTGTTTGCTCAAAATCAACTTCCCCAATTTTCGCGGAGGCATCAATACGACAGTCATCGTCTCATCGGTCGCTGTACAGAAAGAAGAATGAAACATCGTCAGAAGTAATACAATGATTTATTATTGTAATATTTGTTCACAGACCTTAGTTCACTTATTCTTTTTATATGTTGGTGTAACAATAAAGAAATATCAAGCGGCAGATCGGTGTTTTGGTTTTTTCGTCCGTTATAACTAAGCGTTTCTGAAATCTTCGAAGAACAGCGTGGGCCCGAGCGTAGCGAGAGCTGGGCATTAACGGTTTATGAGACGTGATTGACAGTTTCTGACGATGGAAACAGATCTGGCGGATTCAAACAGTTGGTGAAAGTTTGGATAGTCGCCGTTCATTTCTCCTGGTGCCGGTCAAGTCCTCTTTGAACAAGCAATATCTGGAACCTTTTTGGAATTGGGTCAAGTTCAACAATGCCTGGGTCAAAGAAGGGACAGAGTGTCTTGGATGCAAACAGGAAAGTAAGTCATGGTGACTTGTCTGTTAATTGTAACGATGTGTCTGATGTTAAGCATGACATGGTTGATGTTACTGTTTCGCCGTTCAGGGATAATAGGAACATCAAACTCCCTAAATTAGAACCACGGTGTTTTGATGGAAACCCTGTCGATTATTTACAATTTGTAAAGGGGTTTGAGATCATGTTGAATAGTTTTCTATTAAGTGATGAATTGAAGTTAATGTATTTGATGAGATATTGCACTGGAGATGCTGCAAGAGCTATACAGTGCTGTACGTTTATGAAGCCAAAAGAGGGCTACTACGAGGCTCTGAGCATATTACGTCAAAGGTTTGGAAGACCTTCGATGATTGCAGGGAAATTATTCGAGGCTGTTAAGGGTAATGGTGGTCAATTACAGGATGACTCCCAGGCACTTACTGAGTTTTTAGATAATTTGCTAATTTACAAGAATGGAATGATTTCGATGGATCGCATGAGTGACCTCAACTCGAGTTTTATACTAGAAGTAATAGCAAGACGTCTACCTACTCGACTGCAAAGGAAGTGGGTGAAGATGAGCTCCCGTATGGAGGATGAGGGTATCGAGCCAAGGTTTGATGATATCCTGAAACTAGTAAAAGATAGTGTCGATCAATCTATGAGCAAGTTCGCCAGTCTATTACATCTCACCCCTAGAATAGAGCAGTCTGAGATCAAAATGCAATCATTGATGACGAGTAGGCCTCAGAGAAGTGGATATCGAGAAGACTCCATGATGTATAGTAATGCATATAGACCTAGTGAGTGTAACAGGTTTCGTAGTACATCCTCAACAGATAAGTTACAAGATGCAAGACAAACACGGCTTTGTTTTACACGTGTGCAAGAGGTGCATACAGAAGTGAACTGTGAACCAGTGAGCAAGTTCAGTGATAAGCTAAATGTAAACTCCAGGTCTGACTCCGAATTGTGTGACGATAACGGTGCGGTGAAGAAGTCTGTAGTTGCAACTGGTAAGCCGTTGTTGAATAGAGTGTCACAGAATAGAGTTGCTGCTTCAGGGTGCAGTTCTGACTCCACAAGTTTACAAAGTATAACTAGTCAGAGTGAAGTTTAAAGACATTTGTCAATCACGTCTCATAAACCGTTAATGCCCAGCTCTCGCTACGCTCGGGCCCACGCTGTTCTTCGAAGATTTCAGAAACGCTTAGTTATAACGGACGAAAAAACCAAAACACCGATCTGCCGTTTGATATTTATTTATTGTTACACCAACATATAAAAGGAATAACCGGACTAAGGTTTCTGAGGATGTTTCATTCTTCTTTCTGAACAGCGACCGATGAGACGATGACTGTCGTATTGATGCCTCCGCGA